TTCTCCATGCACTGAACCTTATTCAACCGGAAAACGAAGAACAGGTCAAATCAATTCAAACCTATTTGAATGATATTCAAATAACAAACAGCAAAAATTTCGCGGAACGTCTAGAAACGGAACAAATTTACAAGGAAATCGATCAACGTATGATGGAATATCGACAATTATTTACGCAATTAAAAATGACTCAAGTACCCGAACGTGTAAAATTGCAATTGAGTGCACTGAGACATGATCCAATCTTTGCTAATACACAACGAAAGAAGAAATTAGATTTAAGAGTCTATAAGAATGTCGATTATTTCAAAAAAACAAATATCAGTGGGATATTACAAGGATATAAAGATTCTATTACATCGGATACATGGCAAAAGATCCAAGAACAGAAACAGAATTGGGTGGATACCTACTCCAAGGAAGATATATATGAAATTATGAGAAAATCATCGGATAATATTTTATGTTTGGGTATTTTTGTTCAACGTGACGAAGAAGTCATCAACAACCCCGCGAAAGGTTTAAAACTTTTAAAGGTGACCAATACTATTATTTCATATGATTCGTTTATCAATGGAATGAATCTAGCAAAAAATAATCAACAAGTCCAAGGACAATTCACTACTCTAAATGATCTCTATTCCATCGCTGGTGCTCTCGCCGATGAACAAATCAATGCAGTCATACCCTTGTATATCAACGATGAACATATGAAGCGAATACGTATTCTTGAAGGCATTTGGCTTGGTTATCTCTATACCTTAGATAGTTACGGATATGATAAACAACAGGAAGTTGCACTTTTAAAATTACTCTATGAAATTATTCAACAACGTACGAATACACAACGGCAAAAACAAGTCTTAATCGAACTGGAGAAAGTATGTCGATTTATAATCGATGAATCCCAAGGTTTTAAAACTGCGGAACAATTTGGTGAGAAGACCTATGAAAAATTATTGAAGCGACTACCCATTGCCAGTACTCAAGAGTATGATTTATCTATACCACTGATGATTGGTTATTTAAGAAATGATCTTACATCCATATATGTCAAACTTGAAACTTGAATTCAATTGAAATTTCAACTTTCAACTGAAATTTCAAATTTCAAGTTTCAAGTTTCAACTTTCAACTGAAATTTCAAATTTCAACTTTCAACTTTCAAGTTTCAACTTTCAACTTTCAACTTTCAAGTTTCAACTTTCAACTTTCAACTTTCAACTTTCAA